AAAGACTGGCGTTCTAAAGACGGCACAAAGCCTAGAAGTTCTTTCCGTGTTTTCAATGTTACCTGTGTCATAAATGCGAACTTTACATCTTTCTTTCATTCACGGTTATCTGTAAAATCACGAAGCTTGGAGTTTCTGTTGTCTACTCTGACTAATGTAATACGTTCTACAGTACGCTTAGACACGTCTTGAACAGGGTACAGTAAATCTACATGTCTACAGTTACAACAGGTATCTATTGATTCACGGTATTTTAACTCAATGAATACATAAAATCATTTATATTTCACAGGAAATATAACTTATTAATTCAGCTAACGAAGATTCATTTTATCAAACACGAGTTACAATGGTTGGAGAAGTACTGGTCCGATACCAGTATATACCGATTGTTAAGTACACAGAAATGACAGATTTGGTCCTAAAATCCCAATGCACAGGTAATTACTTCACTCAGGTAGATATATTAATATTGATCGATACGGTGACGTGATCAATCGATAACTATGTGACATGCACCTGTAATGAGACGAATTACATTTCCTTGTCCGAATCTGCCGGGTATAATACCTAGTTTATATATATACTTTTCATATCTTGATATACCACATTGCATTACTTTCCAAATTGACTAACACATGAACAACCGGTGTAAATTCCTGACTACATAAAAAATAATAAACTTGTCGGTTATCATATATAGATACCATTGTATAATCACATGTATAGGCCAACAGTTCTGTTATTACTACATTAGAGATGAGTTTTCTGTTGGCGTAAAGTATATCTATATACACTGATTACTTGCATCTGATCCGCTTAAAGGCGTAACGCACGCGGACGTATATTACACTATATATAGTTCTAGGTGTACCACGTGGAAATTCAGGTGTAAACAGCATAACAATCTTTTATCTTGTATATTGTAAATTAGAGCTGGATACAGTCGTTCGGGAAAGGGACTTTTTATCATTGTGTAGATTGCTAGTGCAGTGTTTGTCAAATAACCCGATACCAAAGGCATACAATGTTTTCTATAACGTTGATGCTTTATACACGATCTGATATTTTTTGTCTGAAGTTTACGGTAAGTTATTAGTGTAAACCTAATAAGTTTCTACCATTGGTTGTAGGATATGAGTTTTCGTTTTTCCTCAGGCGCCTCCTATGGCTGACGATTCCAAGACAGGCTAAATAGCTGTATGATACAGTTTAATTACCAACCCCCCCCCCCCCCCCCCCCCCCACACACACCCCGAAATGTTCCGGGCTATAACTTCATAACCGTTCAACCCAACTTCTCAAAATTTGCTGGGTATATTATTACGTTAGTTTCTTTGCTATTGACGACATTTCATTTCTTATATTTTTTTCTGTTTCCATGGAAACGTAGTGAAAAATCACAAAATACAAAATAAGTGTTTACTTTCCATTCAGGGCTACAACTTCAAAACCATTTCGCTCAACTCGTCAGAATTTTCTGTATATACTATGTTATTGTCCTAGTTTTTTTCTGTTATCATGGAAACATATAGCCCTAATCACAAATTTCAGTTTTTTCTTCAGACCAAATCTCTTAAACCGTTCACAGTAATTACCCGGTACTCAAAACTTTATACCGGCATCAAGCTATAAAGTACTCTAGTACAAGTTCTCAATTTCAATATTTTGTTTGGAACTGTTCAAACTTACAAGCAGAAATCAAACTTGCTGTAATAATAACATATACAGTGTGTATATATATATATGATTGTGTGTCTTTCTGTTAAACCATCCGAGCCAACAAGAGTGATTAATGTCGGATGGAAAAGCTTACTTCACAATTGTTGTAAATAAAATTTGAATTTAGAAATTGTAAGATACACCTAGGGTAGATATGACAACTGCACAAATTAGACCCGGTCATTATAGTGGCACAACAACGTCTTTCACCTTTAATTGACAATTATACACAAAAATAAGTTTGATAGTAAGAATGTTTGATATGAATCCTTTAGAGACTATCGGAAGTACTTCTTATTTATTGTTTATTATTAATTTGAAATCCTGAATTTATAATGTATTGAAAGTGTAAACTTACATAGAATTGTAAATCATAAAACAGTAGAGGAGAAATAGAGTGTGTTTTGTTTTTCCTTGTGTGTGTACAATGCAGGAATCCTTTTTTGACGTAGACAGACAAGGAGGAGTGCCCTCCAATTCTATATATACCTTGTCTACTGACCTTGTGTTTGTGTAGAGTATGCGAATAGCTTCCCTGTAAAATGTAGTAACCCAAATATTGGTGATAACACTTTATTCCACACCTCACAAATGCATTCCCGTGTTTGGTAGGTGAAGATAAATCTGTTTTTCACGAGGGAACAGACTGAAAAGACGGCTTACACAATCAGCCGTGTGGTTACTTTCTCATGACGTACAAACAGTAACCAAAAGGGCAAGGTCATCAATTTCAACAAACATTTCACGGACAATTTATGGTGACTTGATGTATACAGATAATAAATAACTTGTGATATATAGTGATTAGATGGTGTGGGGGTATAACTTCAGAGTTAGCACTCGATCTTGATTACAATTCAGATTGTTCAAAAGTTAGTTGGAATAGACCAATGGTCAACGAAATACTCATATTGTTAACACAGAAAACTGAAAAATTCTGAACGTGAAAACAAGAGAAGCACTCGTTATCAATTTTTTCAATAGAAAATAGAAGATTTGATCATTGATTAGCCATAATATCAATTCAACATTCCAGCTACAGCTGCTGATCAGCATTCGTTTAGGGCATTTGTTATAGTAACCTAGTCAAAACACATGGAATAAAACACTATACAGAAATATTCAGCTGAGCCAGCTCTTTTAACCAATAGACATCGATGTGCAGTCAGATCTTATATCCATTGCTTGGTATATGTGGAGACAATAGAAACACTAGGTTTGAATTATAAGTATAACAGTTTACTGTGGTATTATCAACATTTGAAGGGTGTGTGTGGTACAGTGAGATTGCACGAATGAAACCCTTTTGAAGTGTTCACGTGTTTTATTTTTCATGTACTGGATAGTATTTGAACATCAATATTTTTGAGCTTACATGACAGACACTGAGCACATCAGTCACAGCTTTTATCGTGATAACATACAATACAAATCCGTCAGATACTACTAAGTACCGAAAACTCTTCTGTTAGTGTTTAAGAACCACTTTTTCGGGTCCGATATTGTAGACGATTTTAAATCTAACCTTAATTCCTTCTATATCAAGGTAGCAAGCATGACGTCATTGATGTATGTATATGAACGTATTAATGTAAGGTTTGGTATATCACCAGGCATTCTTCGTAGATGTGTGGGTTTTAATCGATACAGACCGTATTTCCACACAAATAACAGATTTCTTGACGTTTATCGTGTCATTTATATATGGACACCGATATTTTAATGCCTGCTTGGTATTTATCTCCCATTTTATTTCGTGGTTTAACATGTGGAAATGGAAATTTGTATTCTGAAAGAAATTCGCATTTTCCTGCATGCAATCTACAGTTATTGTGTCCAGGGGGAATATCTTCAGCGCTAACCACTACGTCTCAAAACGACAATAAAACTGTTGGCTAATTGTATTTCATTTGAATATATAAATATATACATACATATACATAGATATTTATCCAGCAACTGGCACTGCCGTTGTCAGAATACACCTGCCACATATATTTTTGCAATGACGGAAAACTGCTATATTATAGCACGTGCCTTAATTCGATAGAATTACTATATTAATTTACATAAATATTAAATTTAGAAATACAAATAGTTGTTGAGATAAGCGATTTTACATGTTGCAATGAACAAGTTGATGTATGAAAAATCGTAAAAATCGCTGTAATATTCCACGAAGTTTGGAATTATGTGTTCGCGTGGAACAATTATTTTGGCGTCCGTCATCAGACCAAATTCAGCGTAACGTCAATGTGAGGTAAACACAGATTGAATAACAAAACTGTTTAAGTTTCAATAGTCTGATTCTCAGTCATGTTGTAGGATAAATAGAATGCATGTATTCTCTTTATATATTTAATTGAATGTGTGTGTGCTGAGTGTGTGTGTGTAACAGAGGTCATTACTTAATTCAGTGCCTCCGCTAGGATTCGAACTCCGAACTTCTGGTTTAATTGACTGACGCTCAACCGATCGAGCTGAAGAGAAGTTCTTTCTAGCCGAGCAGTATATTGGGGCTAGTGTTTACCAGGGTGACATACACACACAAGCGCGCGCACACACACATACACACAAGCACGCACGAACGCGCGCGCACACACACATATATATCATTGTCCTCACGTTTGTAATGCTTCCTTATCTAATAGCAACATGTTCAATGTGGTATTAATACGTGGTACTAGTAAACTAGACTAACTCTGTATATTATATGTGATTTCCTAACATTTCTTTTGTGAAGCCCAGACTCGTAATGCATTTTGGGCTGGGGAAATATTGAAATGTGTGACGCTAGTTGTATTCATATGTTTGTTGTTAAATAACCTCTTCTATCATTACTTGTTTCCTTGTGAAACATGTCCTTGATCTTATCGTACTCCTACCACACTGTTCGTTCACCACCAAGAGCAGTGTAAACTTTATGTATAATTATGTAGTGTATCACATACAGCCAACAGTAGTGTATATATATATATACACTACATAATTATATATATATATATTATACACTACATAATTATATATATATATATATATATATATATATATATATATTATACACTACATAATTTTATATATATAATTATGTAGTGTATCACACACAGCCAACAGCAGTGTATAATATTTATATATAATTATGTAGTGTATCACACACAGCCAACAGTAGTGTATGATATATATATATATATATATATATATATATATATAAGTATGTAGTGTATCATTCACATAATCCTGCCGATTTTATGATTAATCAATGTTGTTTTGTTTTGTAGATACGCTGCGGCCTATTTCACGTGTAATGTGCCTTTCAATCTGAAACCAGCAGGAGTTTCTCTAACAACCAAACGCTGCGAGAACCCGTCCAACTTCTTACCAATTCAGTACCCGGAAGATCAAAAATGGCTGTTCACCGTTTGTGTCACGCCCCTCAACTTCCGGTATAGTAAGGCCTACGAATTAGTAGAAATGATCGAGATGAACCGGATATTGGGAGCCGACCATTTTGTGTTTTATAATTACAGTACGCATGTCAATGTAGACAGAGTGTTACAATATTACATCGATAAAGGATTAGTGGAGGTCGTGCAATGGCACCTCCCGATGAAGGTTGACGTGTGGCCTAAGGTCAAAGGTCATACGACAGAAATCCATTATTTCGGACAACTTGGTGCTTTAAATGATTGTTTATATAGAAATCGATATAGAAGTAAGTTTTTAGTTTATCAGGATCTAGATGAGTTTATTTTTCCTTACAAACATAGCAATTGGAATGATATGATTGAGTCATTAGCGCCTCGTAATGTGTACATGTTTAGAAATACATTCTTTCGCAAAGATTGGAACGACACAGAAGAACAATTTCCTGGTAAAGATCTTGCTAAAAAGTTCAAATCGACTATACTTTTGAAAACTATGAGAGAAGCAAAGATATTTGGTCTACGGCAGCGCTCAAAATACATTCTTAACCCAAGAAAAGTTGATACAGTTGGAATACATAATGTTTGGAAGGAGAGATCGGGGTCTAGTTTACTAAACGTTCCTCCGGATGTAGCGCTCATTCATCATTATAGAGACTGGGAAAATCCCCGTGATAAAATCAGACGTGAAGATGACTTAATAGCACTTCAATACAAGGATGAACTACTAGGACGAATGAAAAACGTGTGGACGGTTCTGAAGGACGTAGATTTAGGCCCGCTGGGGTACTGAACCATTTTGTTTTGAAGTGTCGTTTAAGGAAATTGTCTATTTTTGTACGTTGTTACTTTATTGTTATCGTCACACAAATCGAATGTTATTGATCCGTGTATCAATCATATTGGTCGAGTTTTGAAATTTTCATTCCGATATTAATTTGACTATAAGTGTTGACAATCCCGTTTTCCCTAGAATTCTCTTCCTCCAATTTCTCGCACGTCGAACAATTTTCCCCTTGATCTGTTCGTTTTCCTTGCTGTCCTTACTATCTCTAGATCTCTGTATGTTATTAGGGCCTATTTTTACTCCAAAAATTTAAATAAGAATAACTGAACTGAATTTTAATGGGTCACTGAGAGTTTCTTTTTTATCTACCAGAAAAGAAAAGGATATTTTCTTCATTTCCTCTAGCTTGTTTGACTCCAACTTGAACAGGATTTTTATAAAAACGTATCATATTACCTTAACTAATGCCAAGGAGTTTAACACAAGTTATACAAATTTTGCAACGACTGAACTGTCTTTTTGTCCAACGCGTTTATATAAAAACTGTGTTTATGCATAATAATTAATTAATTTTTTTATAGTATATATAGTATTCCTGACGTCATATTTTCTTTCTTTTTTTATTTCTGAAGAATTGTAATTCACATTTCGTTAGTGACATTACCTGTGTTCACGATCCCTACGACCTATCTGTATATTTGCTACACACAATCAACCTGCAATAATTAATTTGTGTTTTTTTTTATAAAGTAAGATTTAGGAGCTGTTTGTTTTATTGATTGGTGTGTTATGTAGTATTATGTAACACTGAATCATGAGATACAAAAACACAGATGTTCTACAGTTTTTTTAATGCTCGTAAAGGTGTTTTTAATATTGCAACGTTCTCGGTCTTGATGTGGCTATTTCAACGTTCAACCCAATTTCATTATATCTTGTTAGTCTACTAATACAGATATGTCGATCTCTTAGCTACAGAACATCAGTATATAGTATATACACGCATATACAGTTCGTGTAGGGCGCCATGACGATCTGTCTTACTACTGTAGACCATTCTACAGTATCATATATACAGTTTGTGTAGGGCGCCATGACGATCTGTCTTACTACTGTAGACCATTCTACAGTATCATATATACAGTTTGTGTAGGGCGCCATGACGATCTGTCTGTCTACTGTAGACCATTCTACAGTATCATATATACAGTTTGTGTAGGGCGCCATGACGATCTGTCTGTCTACTGTAGACCATTCTACAGTATCATATATACAGTTTGTGTAGGGCGCCATGACGATCTGTCTTACTACTGTAGACCATTCTACAGTATCATATATACAGTTTGTGTAGGGCGCCATGACGATCTGTCTGTCTACTGTAGACCATTCTACAGTGTCATATATACAGTTTGTGTAGGGCGCCATGACGATCTGTCTGTCTACTGTAGACCATTCTACAGTATCATATATACAGTTTGTGTAGGGCGCCATGACGATCTGTCTAGCTACTGTAGACCATTCTACAGTGTCATATATACAGTTTGTGTAGGGCGCCATGACGATCTGTCTGTCTACTGTAGACCATTCTACAGTATCATATATACAGTTTGTGTAGGGCGCCATGACGATCTGTCTGTCTACTGTAGACCATTCTACAGTGTCATATATACAGTTTGTGTAGGGCGCCATGACGATCTGTCTGACTACTGTAGACCATTCTACAGTGTCATATATACAGTTTGTGTAGGGCGCCATGACGATCTGTCTGTCTACTGTAGACCATTCTACAGTGTCATATATACAGTTTGTGTAGGTCGCCATGACGATCTGTCTGTCTACTGTAGACCATTCTACAGTATCATATATACAGTTTGTGTAGGGCGCCATGACGATCTGTCTAGCAACTTTGAACAAATAATTTAAACAACGCAAAACTTACATGGTAATTTCCTTTGTGAATAAGTAATTGAGATTTATTGAATAACCTTGAGTTCAAATGGTGCATGATTCTATTCTGTGTATACAATTTGTAAAATTCCTTATTTGTTGCCATTAATGTTGTCGAAAGTGGTATGACAACCATTGTTCACATATGTATTATGCAAGACTTTCAATGTAATCGATTAATTTTAGTGTCCACTTCCTTTGCATAGGTCTTGTTATCAATTTGTGAAAACTTTAGATTAAAATGGATCCATTACAATAGCAGAAGGTACCACAGATAATACGTAGAGGCGTCGTTATCGGGAAAATTCGGCGTTTTTATGCCTTTATAATAGAAATATTTTCATTTTTCTTAATTGGCCTCGGTGTTGTCGGGCACATATTAATGCGGTGGTATAACAAATTGTTTGTTGTAAAGTAAACCTTAGTGTGACAACTACTCTTTAATGGTTTCACTGATGCTCTAGTCAAACCCACACATAGTTCAGAATGATAATTCTCTTGTAATTTATTATACATGATCAGCATTATAGATTTGATATTATGAACCGAGACGACTGAAGAGTATGCGTGATCTATTTGTATCGCCAATACTATAACAGGGCATTCTTGTTGTTTGATACTATAACGGATTTCCTAGGAATGTTTTTTTTTCTGAAAATTTGGTAACATTCTTCAATGTTGGTTATTACGTTCAGTGCTAAAAAATTGTGACCATGTTTGGGCCCAATAGAACAGCAGACTGCCATCACAGTGCACGAAACAACAGTCCAAGGGAGACTACCGTCACAGTGCATGAAACAGCAATCCAAGGGAGACTACCGTCACAGTGCACAAAACAGCAATCCAAGGGAACTGCCACAGCCTAGAAAGACGGATAGTTATGATAACAAGAAAGGTTTAATATACATGAAATACTCTGTAACAGTACTTAAATTAGACCATACAGCTCTAATCATTTTCTGATTCCAAAGTTTTCTTGAAATGTTTATCACTGTCAATCGCATTAAGCGTCATTATATTGTCGCACTTCAATTTTTTATACTATTCGGTCGTAAATTTTCTTAATGTTTTAAAGCATTACATTTATGAATCGGCTTATTCCAATTAACAGCATCTGAACACTGCTTTGGTTAGTATGTTTGTTGTGTGTGTGTGGGATACATGGACATAATTAATGTCAAATGTCACTCAATAAGTGTTAGCTTACTTGGCATTCAAATGATTATTTGGGTTTTTTTTATGTCTTTACTGTCAAACAGAAGACTTTTCAAAGAACATTTTTTCAATAAAAACTTATACATTTATTTACAATGGTTTTCCGTTTTATGCATGTTCACTGTATATACAGATTTATAGTTCTATGTTCAAAGAGGTTTCAAAGCGACAAAATAATCATGGTTGTTCACAGAAGTTTCAAAACGACAAAATAATCATGGTTGTTCACAGAAGTTTCAAAGCGACAAAATAATCATGGTTGTTCACAGAAGTTTCAAAACGACAAAATAATCATGGTTGTTCACAGAAGTTTCAAAGCGACAAAATAATCATGGTTGTTCACAGAAGTTTCAAAACGACAAAATAATCATGGTTGTTCACAGAAGTTTCAAAGCGACAAAATAATCATGGTTGTTCACAGAAGTTTCAAAGCGACAAAATAATCATGGTTGTTCACAGAAGTTTCAAAGCGACAAAATAATCATGGTTGTTCACAGAAGTTTCAAAGCGACAAAATAATCATGGTTGTTCACAGAAGTTTCAAAACGACAAAATAATCATGGTTGTTCACAGAAGTTTCAAAACGACAAAATAATCATGGTTGTTCACAGAAGTTTCAAAACGACAAAATAATCATGGTTGTTCACAGAAGTTTCAAAACGACAAAATAATCATGGAACTATTTCCAGACTCGACAACTGAGAAAGGGTAATAGTAACTATGTTTTCACTCGCTATGACATAAAGAATGAATAGCGTATTGTTAATACAGCGATGATGAGCCATCCATCAGAAAACAAAATCTTTACGTCAAAAAAATATATCGTAGCTTAATCCGCTCCTCCAAGACGAATTTCATAGTTTAAACCTAGACAGACGATGCCTAATTCGGTGACATACAAGATTACGTACAAAATTGTCGTCCATACAGTAATACACAGGCTCTTACCAAAATCGTCAAGTAATAAATACGATCTTAACTATGTTTTAATAAATAGTGTATTACTTTACAGTCTGTATTGAAATGCCTGTGGCATTGATCAGATGTACAATAGGGATTGAGAACTGGAACATAAGGAAAAATGACAGAGAAGGTGTTCGTGAGACGCTGTTGTTTCTGGACACCGGGATTTGGCCTTATAATACATGTATATGCATGGACGGAGGTGTGAGAACTCGTGCCGAATCCCTGTGTATCTGAGAACGTATATATATATATATATATAACATGTATCATCCAAAAATTCGTCCGCTAAAAGGCCGAAAGGTCATAATAGTGGACGTAAAACCCGTTAGATAAATAAGTAAATAAATACAAACACACGGTATACATGGAGTAGTGAACAGTCCTACATTTATATATAGGGAAAATTCATAATCAAGCCAAATTATACTTGTAAGTAAGTCAAACGTTCGGTAAATATTGAACGCCAATATAGATAATAGATGTGGTAGTGTTACGACACACAGACTCAGGTAACCACGTAATGCAAGTGTCCAAACACCTGCATACATGGTACCACGTGGTAAGGTTACAATACCTAGAAACGGCTTACCACGTGGTAAGGTTACAATACCTAGACACGGCTTACCACGTGGTAAGGTTACAATACATACATACGTTACTACGTAGTAGTGTCACAGCACCAGACACGGGTTACCATGTGGTATTGTCTCAGCGAAACTTCATATATTGAGGACTTGAGAAGACTTTTAAAAGACAGCTGCCATATTGGATTTTGAAACAAGCCAGACAATCGTCATGTGAATCTTATTGATAGAACTATAACATTTTTGTTAAAGGATAGCAAAAATCGCGCTATCGAATTACCGCTTAGGAAATGATACGATATGAATCCAATAGTCTGATTCATTGATCATAGCACGCACTGTAACAACTGCGTGAACGTGATCAAAGGTATATAACGTTTAACTCG